CCAAAAATCTTGGAGGCCTCGAGTGTTTTCGAGGCCAGGAATGCCTCTAGTGTTTGGCAATGCAATTGTGGAGCAGTTTAGTCACTTATTTTAATCCCAGTTCAAATGCCAGATATTTAGGATGCTTGTTAGTAACCTAACACGGTCGTTTATGCTTGAACGACGCACACCGAAATATTTACGAGGTATGCTTATAAGCTTTTAATTGTGCATTAGCCATAAATGTACAGTTTTCGTTTAATTATAGAGGTCTAAATTACGAATTGAGTGCAACTTGTAAAATTACAGTGATTGTTTTCAAAATTTATATATTTCCCTATGCTATCCTGAAATGAATCAGAATCAACTTATTTATAACTTTTTTTTAAACAAATTAACGGTTACCACAAAAATCCTTCAAAGGAATCAGCAAATCTTATTCTGTCGCAATTTTAATGTTTTATCAATAGGTTATACTGGTTACGAATAGTTTTTTGATGCCCAGAGCACACATACCAATTTTATATCATTAACAATAACAATTGGACATGAACTGTAATCGTTATTAATGCAAGGCTTCTGTCTAAGAATATTCAGTGTTACTAAAATTCTTGAATTCGAAGCACCGGAGATGATTTTTCCGCATTAAAATTGTAAACTAGTATTATTTTATTCTGAAGATGATAGATTTTCTGGTAGCAAAATTGTTACCTAATTAGAGACTCCCGCACTAGGCAAATGAAACTACCATTCCTGCAAAGCTGGTTGTCGTGCCTTTAATTGCAATGGTAGCTGCGTTCCAGGTCAGGTTAATGACGTAATTATTTTCATTGCCCTCAGTTCTTATGGAGCTTATCAATTTTAACACGAGATTTTTTCTTGTTGAGCGTTATTTTAGCTTTTTTTGACTGGTATAGAACCATTTAAAAATACCAAACATTATGTTATACTTTTTACGGTCAAGTTTGATTTGACCATAAGTAAATTAATCTTCTGTAATTCTGGTTGAGTTCAGACATCAATATTTATCACCATGAACACTAGCAAAAATAGTGATTATTTAATTAAAATTTGAGTAATTAATATTTGTCAAATAGAGTCATCACGCTGACTCCAAAAAAATGGTGAATTTTTTTCGCCGACTAAAATTTTCATTCGAATTTTCCAATTTTCTCCGATTCAATTAAAATTAAGCGAAGCACAGGTGATGAGGGGAGCTCTCTATTTATACTGGAGCAACTGAAAAGAGAATTTTTCTCGCACAATTTCTTTTGTTGTCATGTGGGCTAGAGAGATGAGGCACTTCTAAACACAATTATACTTGTGTGTCAAAAGGTATAAATTAGATTTAAATTATAGAAGGACCTTGAGGCTTTCCGTGCTAAGTTCTCATTTATGAATTATGGCCTTATTAATGTGACACTTGCCATGGCTGTTGAGAATTTCCGATAAAATGATTAGGCCCAATAAACAAGCTCTTAGGAACGACAATGTCTTCTGGCACAGATCCAAACCCAAGTCTAAATAAGAACCAAAATTGAGTTATTCAGCTCATTATAACGGTTTTCCTTTTAATGCGGTTTTTAAAATCGCTGAATTTGGTTGGAATGAGAAGACAGACGTTAATTTCAGTGTTGAAACGAGAGGATAAATGTTTGGAATTCATCATAGAAACGTTAAAATTTGGTGGTTTGTTAGCGTCAGCGAAACTCTGACGAATGTTTCGTGAACTTAGCACTTAGAACTAATTTTCAAGTAAACATTTTTCCATTCGCAGGTAGAACTAATTTTTAAGTAAACATTTTTCTATTCGCAGGTTATCGTTTATCTTGAAAATGGTTTGAATTGCAATTAAAATTTTAACAAATAATTTATCTTGGTTTGAATGGAATTTTAATAATTATAGTAATTATTGTTTAATAATTATTCTTGGTTTTAATAATTTTGTGAATTATTTTTCGGGCCATTGATTCTCAAAACGAGCCTTATCTTGACACTGGATATTTTAAATTATCGCGGGACCGAAACCCTGACTTTCAATTCACAATGCTACAGTCAGAGAACAAATCGGCATCACAAACGCTAACTTTTCTTTTTAATAAGCTAGAGCTACCTTAGTGGTTGGCGGCTTGCCAAAAAAGCGTCAACAAACACTTGACTTGAGGCCTCGTGCTCGAGTTTTGATGCCGGTGCTAATTTCTCGAGGTTATTAGAGGTAATCTCGGGATGTTTATTTTAATATCAGTGATGTTCTTCTTATAAAATAAGCTCATGGACGCCTTGAAGCAAAGCAATTAATGGAGAAATTGCGCAAATTTCACGAGTTTTGTTCTCAAATAATTGCAACAAATTATTTCCTTTAAACTCATAATTCTCACTGCAATATACAGTGGGGGGGAAATAAATATTCGTACACTCGAAAAATCGTATTTTAATGTATGTAAGTACACAAACTTAACAGGAGAAATGATTTATATTATGTATAGAGGCGCATTGTATTCAAAAATAGCATCAATAGAAATTAAATCTCAATGCAACAAAAATTAATGCAACATGTCAACTTCTTCGGGTCAAAAAAGTATTCGTACAAAACAACTTTTGACTAATATTTCACACCAGAACATTCCAGAATGTACTAGAAACATGTAGCACGTTCCAGTAATGTAATCAGTAACCATAGTTAACGTATTTTGCAACTAAGAACATGTTGCATTGTTTTTTGTTGCATTGAGATTTAATTTCTTTTGATAGTATTTTTGAATACTATGCGTCTCTATACATAATTTAAATCACTTTTCTTGTTAAGTTTGTGTACTTACTTACATTAAAATACGATTTTTCAAGTGTACGAATATTTATTTCCCGCCACTGTAAATGCACTGCTCGCAACCATTCAAAATATATTCACACGCCTGCGTTTTTCCACTTTGTCTTGAGTTGATTTCTCGAAGAAAAATCGATGCGCCGATTCGCAGAAAATTTCAACCTAAAAATTTTGAATTTCGTAGACGCTACAAGACCATTTTTTGTTTAAACTATTTTTCCGGCAGTTAAGGCTACCTGGAGAAATCATTTGCTCATCAAGATTTCAGAACCTTATTGTTTTTGTACGGTATTATGGCTTTTTAGCTTGCAATTTAATTTCCTTGTCATTTAATTGCTCATTGACAACTGGGGACTGTTAGATTAAAAGTTGTATTTTGTACAACATCCACTCTTTGCACAGCGATATAGAGCGCATAAAGCCCGTACAATTCCTTCATGAAAATCGCGTAACAAGGAACATAACCACATGAAATAGCAGGATTTTATTAGGGTATGTGTATCATTATGTTTAATCAATGTATATAAGGCTGTCTTAAATTCTTTAAGAAGAGCTTCCTTTGAGTACCATAACACGATCTTCTTTGAAACTATCAAGTAATCTTTATCATAAAGAGCTCGCCCATGAAGCGCTCTATAACCAGATCTATTACGAAGCAAGCTCTATAGCTCGGTGTGTTATAAAGCGCTTTACAACAGGTTCGCTCATACAAAGCGTTCTACATTAATGTCCCTCTGGGCACTTTGGTTATCCGTAACGAGAGGAACCGTAATGTTTGAAGTGCCTAAGTTTTGAGAGAGTGTTTCGATAAAGTGGGCTGCCGCCAACGGCATTATCTTCGAGTTTCGGGGAACGCCCAACTTTGAGTTTAGACCTTCCGATTCTTTTCCTTTAGTTTCCTGTACTTTGTTTTATGCCAATACTTTGTATGGGATGTCCATTCTAATTTATTTCAAATCTATTTTTTTATTTCTTTCACCAACAGTGGCTTGACCCTTTATTTATGTTTATTTAGCTCTCTATGGTCATTAGAATTTCCCTTTTATTGGCACATTTCTTGTTAAGTTTTATTAATACATTTTTTATCGAATATGCCCCAATGAATTTTGTTGTATTTATTCACTGACTTATTGTAACTGTAGCATTTCTGCAATATCTCCTCGCATAATGTTCTCTCAATAGCTGTCGTAGAAAGCAATATTTACACCCCGTATCCAGACAAGTTTTTAAATTTCTGTTTTCACTACATGATAAAATAATAGCAACCGTATACGTTCTTTTCTTTTCTTGCAATGATTTCATTGTCAAGATTATATCATAGAACTATTTTCATTGCAATCCTGTTATTTTGTCGCTGTGCATTGAACATTCTTCCATCACTTGATTGAAAGCGACAATGACTTTATTCTTCTACATGCTATACATGAGGTACTATACCTAATAACTCGACTATACCTGAGGTGATATCGTCTTGTGAAGATAACCATACCTCGTAATTATTTGCTGTGAAATTAGCCACAGCTGAGGTTTTATCTGTTATAAAGATAACCTTGCCTGAGGAATTATCTGCCGTAAAGGGAACTATACCTACGGTATTATCTGTTGTTAAGTTAACTTAACCTTGCCTGAGGAATTATCTGCCGTAAAGCGAACTATACCTTAGGTATTATCTGTTGTTAAGTTAACTTAACCTTGCCTGAGGTATTATCTGCCGTAAAGCGAACTATACCTACGGTATTATCTGTTGTGAAGATAACTGTCTGGAGCAACCGCAATTTGGCGGCAGCCCAGCTGCCGGAAGACGCTGGCAATTTATGACTCGAGTCGTTATTATTCGCGCAGTTGATATAACTTCAGACCTTCGTCTCTAATATCACTCAATGAGAAAAATTTATACATTTATTGAAAAATTCATTCACTGTAACTACTAATAAAAAACATGGGAGCCTTGTTTACTGAAATCTTGAAAAAAATGCAGGAAAAAGCTACAGAAAAATATTGCTGCTTGATTAATTTTGGTTATGCATTAAATATTTTTTTACTTTATTTAATTTTAATTTTATTCTCCTTTTCGAGCTCATTTACAGGATGCAAGTGAAATTCCTATTTTCGCTTCACCAAGCGCCTATTTTCTCCAAGTAATTAGGAAGGCTACTTTTCAGTTACTGTGTTTTTAATTTGACACTCAGATTATTAATTACGACCATATGTTATTTGTTAATGCAAGACGCAGGCAATCGTGGTAAGTTGTTCTTCAGATTGTAACATTCACTGAATAAAAGGCTGCACTTTAGGTTTACTGAAATTTCCTTATTTAATTCAATTAGAAAGTTTATAACTAAACTAGGGGTTTTTATGGCTCGGTTTTCGTGGAAACTTTAAGCCTCACACATTCGATATTGTCCCTTCCATGAAGTGTTAAACAGGTATCAATGCCGGTTAGCTAAATCTATGATCTCAACTGACAAATTTCCATGAAATTGAAATAATTCATATCCAGTTCAGTTATATGGTCTCCAGAACGCCCCGTTATTTCCGCGATTTATGATTATGCAAAAATACCTTGAGTGATCAAATCCTGCCTAAACCCTGAGCTAAAACTGGACTGTGAAAGAAAAATATTGTTCGTGCTGTTAGAATTCGCGACAGGAAATCGTTTTTTTCGAAGGTGATAAACTCGTTTTTCGAGTTTCATAAAAACTGATTATCACCTTGAAAAATAAAGATTACTTATAAAGCCGATACGAAACTGAAATAATAAATGAATTTGCATAAACCATATTCATAAAGAAATAAAATCTTTGTATTTCCTGACAATATGAAAACAGTTTTTTATGATCAGAGTTAACAAGCCGGCACTACGGCATAGATAATAACGCGATACATGTAAACTACCTTTCTCAGTTGAAAAAATATGGTTAAGGGATTGAATTATCATTGAAAAATCTCGCTTTTTGCTAGTCTGACTTGTATAATGAAGACATTCAGATCCCTAATGTGCTTACGAAGCGCAGAAATAAAATTCAACGCGTTTAGAAGTTTTTTTTTAAATATTACAAACCAAATCAATTATAAATACTTGAATTTTCCCCTTGATTTGCATAATGAGCATAGCAGTACAGGCATTTCTTCTGTGGCACTTCAGACGCCCAGGAGAATTAGCTGTGTCCAATTTAAAGTTTTCATGTATGCTTTTAAACGATCAAAAAACTCCCGCAAAATAGACTAATTCGTCCCGAAAATTAGCTAAAATACGATGCGGGGCTCTCGTAATTGCATTGCGACATTAATGATCAATATGCAACTGTCGTTATATCGGCTTATCATTATATTGCCCGCTGAAATACAGTTATTGTTCTAATATTAAAACGAAATTAGGTTCCCTGTTATTAAGTATGGTGTATGCACTGGAACAACGCAGTGCATTACTGCGAAATACGTTAATTGCGCTGACTTATGTGCAGCGGTTTAAACTTTTAAATTCATTAGAGGCGAAGTAATTGAATTCTAGACGGGGAAAATAAATGAGCAAATGTATCTTTTTACTTAATTTATGTTAATGGCCGATTATTTTCGTATTAATGCGCCCAGGTAAATAATATAACTTCTTCCTTGCAATTTAAACTTTGTGGGCGCAATGCTGAAACTTCGGGTAATTTTAATGGGACTCAAATTACCACTCGGTAAATTTTGTTCTACGCTCGAGTCTGTTGAAATAACGTATGATTTTTATTGGAGCTCTCAACGCTATTTGATTCTAGAAGTTTTGCTTGGAATTTTAATTTACTTTCGCCTCGAATTTCGAGCTTGAGGCTAAGTTCTTGAATCAAGAACTTCATTGTGTTTGTCTCAGTCCGTTGTAATATAATCTAAACATCGCACATCAGATTTGTTTCTATTGGATTGCATTATCGATATGCCGCAATCTTTATGTGAATAATTTCACATAATATAAATCATTTCACGGGTCGAACTAAAAAAGCAAAACTCATTTGCTAGAGGTTGTTTTTTTTTGTTCACTGTATTTAATCTCACGTAGTCGCTATTTCTATAGTGAATTAGTCAATTATTCTATTGATGTAAATTTCATGAGCATTTTCTCATTTTTTGTTGCTCAATTCAACTTTCTTTTGCAATAAAATATTCATTCACTTAATTTTCTCGGTAATTATTGGCTTTTGCAACGATTTTTTGTCTGTATTATGAATGAATGTCATGAATGTTATTTCATCTCACAATTTCTGTCCATCAAGATCTTTATAAGCATACTATATCACTAACAATACTCTTGTATTGTCCGTGTATAAACTGAATATGGTATTTTTTGTCCATCAAATGATTTGCTTTCATTGTGAGTCATATATTTTTATTTCACGTGTTTCAACTGCACACTTACTTTTTTCTCCGTCAGATGGTTTGTTTTCCTTGTAAGCTTTCTTTTTTTATTTCACGTGAATTAATTACACAATTTTTCCCCTACCAGGAGCAGTCCACCAAGTGCTGGCGGTCATAGGAGGACAGGCTGACCTCCCTTGCACCCCAGCACCGTCCTTTAGGCCGCCGTCTCCCGATTACTCCTTGAACATCGCTAGCATTCACCATGCAAGAGAATTACAGAACAAACTGCCAGATGCATTCATGAATTCCTTCTTCAAAGATGAGAAGGACCAGCAACTCTTGGCAAGAACTTTGCAAGATTTGCCATCTCATTTCGCCGATCGAGCCTATAGAAGAAAGAAGCGCTCTTCTTCTGTCCAAGGTCTTGAGTGGCGCAAGGGGACTGTGATATTGCAGCCTGAAAGTTCCCCCGAAAACAGAAGTAAAATTTCGTTGCGTCTTAGTACTTATTCCTCTAAGCGTTCAATGCGTTTAGATGGTATCTTGAATTATGTAAAGAAAACGGCGCCGCTTGATGATTTTGTCTATCGATCTCACGAGGAATCTGGTAACATGACCATAAAATTCTCGAAATCTCCGGTAAACACTTTTCTCAAGACGCGTTTTCTCCACCATGATGAAGGTCGTCATAAAAAAAGTCCTGATATTGGTGATAATTTTTCGAGAAAATTAATATGCTCTTCAATCACTGGTGACTGTGAACGCATCGCTCAAGAATTGCTCGGAAGTCAAATGAGAATTTCTCCAAAGAAGTTTAGTTTGAAAAGCCACGTCCGCAGTGATTTATCTTGGAGACGTGCAGCAATAGAGCTGATTCATGATGTCCAAAATTCAGAACCTGAAATGAAACTAAAACTTCCCTTAATTGACAGCTTTCAGGCAGCGCCGGTAGCCTCAAAATTCAGCCATTTCAATCAATCTTCCCGAACGGCGTCAAAACGTCCACGGGAGCTCGATTTTAACAGCCACGTGATTGACAGAGAAATACTTGGCTCGGTGACCAGAAATTCGGACTTCAGAAATCGTGAATCAAGGTCTCTTCACTTCGACACTTCTACTCCTATAACGCCAGTTTTTAAATTGGTACCTGCTGACCTCAGTAAAAACAGCAACCGAAACTCGGGAAATCAAATTGATGTTCAGGCTAAACCCATCCTGGTTCTGTGGTATAAAGATAACGTCGGCACCCCTTTCTACAGGTACAACTTTCCAGTTGTTTGTAAAATACTTTCTTGTACCATATCGGTTGTATAACGGAGAAAATTATTGGCTTTGAAGTGATTTTGATGTGCTTAGATTTGATAGCATATAAAACAATTTATTGTTATTTCTCTGCTTACATAACGATTGCAATAGAACTGTACAAATTTTGCTTACTACCTTCGCAAACAAATTAATCGCATTGTTTCTTCCTGCTTCGACTAAGGCCCGCTTTTTTCTCCATGCTTCTGTTCTGTCCCACTCATTTTCCGAGCTACGAACGTAGCTCAGTTGTCTACACAATCAATTCACGCCTCGCCAACTTATTTGTCGTATTCATTCCCAACAGTTTCGACTCGCGCGCGGCAGACGAGACAGCGTCGGCTTTGGTATGGGCAGAGCCGCATGTTTTAGGTCCCCGCGTTCGGTTCGACATCAATACGCAACTTTTGACCATACGCCAGCTAAAAGTCTCTGATGAAGGAGTCTACAGATGTCGCCTCGAATATACAACTGCAGCCACCACCGTCGTCAGGGCCAACCTCACAGTCATAGGTGAAGACAGATATCTGTTGTATCTGTTATACGGGATCATTAATTGCTACCCAACTGTCGTTGGTGAAGATTGAAATCTGTTATATGGGACAATTGAACTGTCATATAGGTGAAGATTGATGATTGTTTATGGGAGCATTGATACCGAACTGTCATCGGTAAAGGTTGATACTGAGCTGTCATAAACAGAGATTGATATTGAGCTGTCATTGTTGAAGATTGATACTTAACTCTCATTTGTGACGATTGATAACGAATTTTCATTGGTGAATTTTTATAACAAATTGTCATAAAAGGAGATTTGTAACAAACTGTCATAGGTGAAAATCGAACCCCGTACTGTCGAATGTGACGATAGATAACGGACTGTCATTGGTACGTTAAATCAAACTTTTTTACGCGACGATTGTTATCCAAAGTCTTAAGGATGACATAGGAAATATTAGCGATATATCTAGACTAATTTCGTTCACTTGCCATCACGTGACACTTCACTACTAGCTATATTTTCCAAGCATAAAATGCTTCCATTTCAACCCCTGGCCCAATTTACAATCGTTCGTAAATTTTTGTTTTCTTATTGCAACTTCATTGAATGATATTTGAATGATTTTTTCTTGTATGTGGCAATTTAATTAGTTTGATTATAATATCACCTAATTCTTCTTATCAACTTAATGTGTGTTCTGACTCGATACTGACAATGACCATTGGCAAGTATTCGATTTTTCGTGAGTGCTCCTCTACTAGTTCAGTGTTTCTGAAAAAAATTATGCACTGATCAAATTATGCTGTTCAATTCATAACCCTTGAAATATTTTAAATATACTAAAAAATATTGCCCCAATCATCAAAGCCATACCCGTCTAGTTCCACACGTCACCATCTTCGAGAATTTTTTTTGTACAAGTAAACGTTTACAGTAAAAATATTCGTAAACATTTACAGTGAAAATAATAAACTAAAAATAAAACCCATTTTAAAACCCATTTTAACCCACCTGTGAATAAAAATATCTTGTTTCGTACTCTGCAGTCCCCCCTTCTGCTCCCGTGATAACTGAGGGCAAACGAAGCATCCCCGGGGCCGGGGAAGGCAAAATCAATTCCCCCACTGGACCGTACGTTGAGGGGAGCTCCATGACCCTCAACTGCTTTGTGCGGGGAGGTAAAGCAACGTTTATATCGGGAGTTTTGTCTGAGGTTAAATATAATATATGTGTGTGCAAATAATGTGTGCTTTGTTGAAGTGTGATAGGTAAATATCTATCTGATATGTGTGAGGTGTACGGGGAGGTAAACCAACGTTGATATCGGGAGTTTTGTCTGAGGTTAAATATAATATACTGTATGTGTGCAAATAATGTGTGCTTTGTTGAATTGTGATATGTAAATATATATCTGATATGTGTGTTGTGTACGGGGAGGTAAAGCAACGTTGATATCGGGAGTTTTGTCTGAGGTTAAATATAATATATGTGTGCAAATAATGTGTGCTTTGTTGAATTGTGATATGTAAATACATATCTGATATGTGTGCTATGTTCGGGGAGGATAGCCAACATTAATATTGGGAGTTTTCGTCAGAGGTTAAATATCTGATATGTGTGCAAACAATTAAATTATGTTTTGTAAACCGGTAAGAGTATTTGAACAGAAAGGCAGTGACAATTTCAATGTTCAGAAATGAAGTTAAATAATACTGATTGTCTTGGCCTAGAACAGAGTTTATGTATTACTCACACGAAAGATTCATTTGAAATGTTTTTTTTTATATTTATTAGCTTTATTTTACTGAAAATAAGTTATATAAACTGTACAAGTTTGCTCATTACGCATTAGAAATACGCTACTTGAATCGTTTTAATTTCAGGTCACCCGAGTCCTCAAGTGCTATGGTATTTGGGTGATACCCTTCTGGACAGCACTTATAATACCAGCTACGCTGGTGTGACTGGTGTTAGTCCTCTCCCTGGTGTTAGCTCTGATGGTGTGACTGGTGTTAATCCAGCCACTGGTGTTAGCCCTGATGGTGTGACTGGTGTTAATCCAGCCACTGGTGTTAGCCCTGATAGTGTGACTGGTGTTAATCCATCCACTGGTAAGACTGGTGCTGCCACAACTGCTAGTGTGACGGCCAACTATCTCCACATCGCTGCAGTCAGTCGCCGCCTCACGCTCGAAGATCTTCGCTGTGTCGTCATCATGCCCAAGATCGATCCCGTTTCCATCAAGGCCGACGTCGAGTTTCATTGTGAGTGTCGGTGAAATTTTTCCTTTCATTTTTAATCTCATTACATTTGCTCTCAAAATTCGCAGCACGTTGAAAGTGTCTGATTTAATTAAGATTGGTTCTCACTACTACGTGCAGTGCCTCGATTCTTGCATTTTTATTCATTTAAACTTCATTTCAATAATTCTCGTCATTCTTGGTTCATGGTTCATAGATAAAAGCAAACTTATAATTTTAATATCGAAAATATCATGTCTTCTTATTATTGCATTGGCTTGAAAATTAAAAGGCTTCACTTCAATGTTAGATTTTTATCTCATTTTACTTTAACCTTCATTTTATTCTGTTCCTGGCAATTATGCACCGTGCATATTATTTTTATTCGCGCTTATTTCATCGTGATGATAGTAGACGTAAAAACATTTCGTTCCAAAAGCCATTTGTGCCGTAATTTCTGATTAGAAATTTTAATTAAATCTGAATTGTATTATACTCTGTTTTATGAGCCATTAGACGCTCGGCATGCCATCAAAGCTTATTAGGGTTCGTAAATTAGTCTGTAGAAGAAGAATTGTAAATTTAGAGAGGGAAAATTATTGTTAGAAATACCTGATGCTATGTTAATATCGACGAAAACGAGAGCTGAAAAAATTGTTATTAGAGTGGGTTTTATTTTGTACCTCTTTCCATAAATGAGATGGGAAACTGCCGAGGAAACTCTCATAAATTCAATTAAAAGCAAGACACCTCATTACCTGTTTTGTGTGCAATATTCGCAGGAAGCTGCGGTATATTTTACCACAGAGCTATCCATTATTTAAGTTTATAAACCATAGATGATCAAAAATTAGCGCTTTTCATAGCTAGGCCGCGGCGTCCTATAAATTCATCCCCCTGCCTGGGCACACAATGCGACCGCTCTTGTGAAAAAGCCTTTTGACCTCAGAAAAGTGGCCTGAATATCCCCTACCTCGAGCATGGTGGGATGTTGCTTCACCGTTACTCTTGCATATCTCATTGGGGTGGGGGATTTATGATAGCCACGATGGCAAATGTTTCTCTTCCGAGGACAGAATGCAAGAATGGCGACTGCGTCGTAAGTCTACGGATTTTCTAACCAATGTTTAATTTACTTTTCATCTTCATCTTTTATTAAATTATGATCATCTATTTAATTATTTAACTGTAGCGATAATCAAGTTTCCATTGGAAAATACATTAATATAAATAGTTTTATAAATAAATACATTAATATAATAGCCGGGGTTATATAGTTTCGCTGATTTTAATTTTTGAATATAATTTACTGATTTTTTGTCGCCCTCGTAAATAACAAGGTGTTACTTCTCAGTGTAATTTTCATTTCTTCAAACTAAAGATGAGATTATTTTATTTGCTACTGAAACTCTAGAAATATTCGGAAACATTTTTACGTGGCTCTCTAATTGGTATCTTGAGATAAAATGACAAATGTGTTCTTGATCTGCTCTATCTTAAATTCCTGCAAAACTTTCGAGAAATGTCCTAGAAGAACTCTTTTCCATAAAATTGCTTTAGTTTGTTTACAATCGAGGCATTTTATGTGCATCAAAATTGCACAGCGCAGCACTCCGCATAGAGTGAGTCGACGAATATTTAATGTCACGACTGCACGTGGATACCGTCACAGCCATTACTGAGACGAGATTCTCTGTAACTTTGTTCCCTTGAGGTCTTAAAGAACCCGGCAGGAAAGGCAAGAGTTGCACCCAATTGAACCTACAATTTCTCACCAACATCTACTAGGAATAACCGTTGCTATGCCAAAAAATTTTTCTTGATGCAAGACACTCTGTTCAATATTGCTAGTGTAATTCATTCGAAATTAAATGTTGCTGCTGAATAAAATGACGAAATTTGGTGTTCTCTGAGATCAAATAAGATTGTACGCCCGGGGGGTGTTTTCTATGAATTATTCAGGTACAGCAAGTGCCTATAAGATTCGAGTTGGTCGTTCCAACGGCTTTTTTAATTTTCTTAATTTCTGACGCGAGACTTCTAAGAATTTCCGTGGTTGATCTTCCACTAATTATAAGTCGTTTCATTATACTGATTATTTTACCATCCAAAAATTTATTACATCCGTCTTCATTTTAATTGATTTCATATTATGAAGTATATGATTTAAATAATTAATTCAAAGCTGTCTCATTTAGAACAATTTATATGCAAACATTTCATTAACGATTATATTTTAACAATTTATATGCAAACATTTCAAGATAATCGTTAATTGCTGTTGACGCTATTTATTCTCCCGCTGTGATTCCATTATTGACCACAACATATCAACGGTCGACGATATTAATACACACTTTACGATAATAAAATATCCATTGCTATTGACGATCTCTATACTCTTTCAGTGAGTCCATTATTAACCACTATACTGGGCAACCGGAGTGCAGTAACTGCTGGTGCAAATGTCACGGTGCAGTGTACTGTTTACGGTGCAGTACCAACTGCAGTGGTGCATTGGTACATCAATGATACTCCAATCCTTGCACGGAGAACTGAGGTGAGAATCATTGATATTTTGTGTAAAACCTTGTTTTGACATTCTTCGGGTTCTAGCATAAGTGCTATATTTCAGCAGAAAGGAAGTTGATCGAAAACAACTCGTATGATTTCTTCAACTGGGATTTTATCTTCTAGTACATATCACAAAATTTTATGAAAATTTTTTAGCAGTCATGGAAGTTGATCATGAAATTTGAGAAAAGAATTATCTTCGCAGGATATTCGAGTCATATTGTTTGTTTGAATAGGCGGTGACTAATTTGTGGCCTCATTAATGTGAAATATTTTCAACATGGTAATTAATGGGATCTTGGTTGAGTTTGTAAAATGTGGCATGACAATGAAATTATCTTTTAGACAACGAGTTACATCCAGTAGAGTCAACGTACAAACTGTAAAAATTATTAGATTGTGAGAAACTAATTCCACGGGGCTTTTTTATTTTTTGAAGAAAAATCTTTTTGGTGGTAACATTGCATTTTTTAGTTGAAATAATTGGAGAGATTGAAAACATAAACATAAACTGAAAACTGACATAACTGAAAACATAAACTGGCAACAGGCCATGGGCCTATTTCTTCAGCGCCGACACTTCTATTCTATTCTATTCTTAATCAGATTTAATCGGCTGATGCAATTAAGTATCAAAAAATAATTGGAGAAATTGAACACATAATCTAATTTAATCATATTTATTCGCCTGATGCAATCAACCATCAAAACCGGAGCCAAGCATTATAATTTTATGTTCACTGTAAGCTCAACATGACGAATCACTAATAATATTCTTAACCACTAAACCAAAGTATATGCTTAAAATTATATCTTTAAATTCATGCTTGATCAAATTTTCCGGTAACCTGATGTTAATACCGGAATAATGAATTTATATTCAAGCTTAACCAAATTTTGGTCGTTAATTCCTGGTGTTATTAGTGGAGTACAACTTATTAATTGTACTCGCGAGCAAAAGTAATGTTTTCCGTATTATTCGAACACTACTAACGATCACCGCGCTGAAAAAATAAGGAAATATCCTAATATTTCCGAGGGGTTGTTAACACAGAACCTGCTGCGCTATATTAATGTTCGCTGCTCAGGCCGGCTTCTCGGGTCCTTTATTTTGTGTGATATGTTATTTGCGGCGCTTCATATGAGCAAATTTGTTATGAAGAACCTGCAGCCTGCTCCTCTCATGCTCCACAAAAATGAGATGAGATCTGCGACTTAAATGTAGTTTTGCGGTAAACTGAGGCGCATCATGTTCTCTGATGTTATGTTTTCCTCAAATGTTTCGTAAAGTTGATACTAAGAGCATAAACTTTTCAAGATTGATTAATTTTGTATCCAATATTTCGTGTTTGAACTTCATATTATTAAATGATCTTTCTCAAGCGAGAAGCGATCTTGTTTTATCTCATAGGTTCCTTACCGAACAACCGAATTTTTGACCTATGAAATATCTGGAATATTATCTCTGCCTAATTTATATAGTATAGATTTATGGCTGGAAAACTTTTTTCATATCGGATTCTAGATGCCGTGAAGTGAATTTATAAAATTTGCTTTAAATTTACTTTCGCAGCGACCGTGAGGAAATTGTTCTTTCAGCTTATAGAAACTGTAGTTGCCTTCGAAATTAATTTTTAGTCCTTTTGGAATTCTTATGAAAACACTTTTGAAGCAAAAAGTTGTATTTAATTAAATTAAAAGTCTGCAATTTATTGCTGCCACCGATGAGTTTACATTTGATGAAAAGCTAACAGGTAATTAATTTATTAACATTATAAATTTAACATAATATTTAACGATGTTGCTCAGTCTGATGGACTGAACAAGACCACGTCGACGCTAGTGTTCAGACCCAAGCTGAGCGACGAGGGCGCGACGCTACAGTGCCGCGGTCTGACGCCTGCACTGCCGCACGTCGTGCTTAATGATACCTGGACGCTGTCTGTCAACTGTGAGTATTACACGCACCGCTTCTTAATGAGTATTTCTTTTCCATACCAAGCAATGTCTGCTGTTGACTTTACGTATTACACGCACCACGCACGGCTTCTTAATGAGTAATACTTTCAAATACCAAGCAATGTCTTCTGTTGACTGCACGTATTACACGCACCACGCACTGCTTCTTAATGAGTATTTCTTTTCCATACCAAGCAATGTCTGCTGTTGACTTCACGTATTACACGCACGGCTTCTTAATGAGTATTTCTTTTCCATACCAAGCAATGTCTTCTGTTGACTTTACGTATTGCACGTACGGCTTCTTAATGAGTATTTCTNTTCCATACCAAGCAATGTCCCCTGTTTACTTCACGTATTACACGCACGGCTTCTTAATGAGTATTTCTTTTCCATACCAAGCAATGTCCCCTGTTTACTTCACGTATTACACGCACTGCTTCTTAATGAGTATTTCTTTACCATTATCAAGCAATGTCTTCTGTTGACTTAACGTATTACACGCACGGCTTCTTAATGAGTATTTCTTTTCCATACCAAGCAATGTCTCCTGTTGACTTAACGTATTCAACGCACGGCTACTCCGTTATTTCTCACGATGTGCTATGTTGACTATATGTTTCCAATGAACGCCTTCTCTCCCATACATATCAATGTCCTCTGTTAAACGCTTCAACTACAACAATCCATTATTTAAAATGGACATGGCAATGTTCCATTAACTATGGGTATGCCAATGCACGCATTATTAATGGGTAATTCCTGTTTCATTTCTCAATGTGAACTGTTTATTATATGTATCCGATTCACGACTTCTTAATTAATATGCATTTCTCTTTCATATCTAACGATATCGTCTGTTAGCTGTGCGTATTATACGTAAGACTTCGTAGTGGGCATTCTCAGGTTCATTCCCAACAATGTGCTCAGTTTACAGTACAAAGTGTACATGTATAATGCTCAACTTCTTAATAAGCATTTTTTTGTTTCATTTTTAATAACGTCATTTGTTGACTATACATATTCAGTGCACTGCTTCTTGCTATATGCATTTCGTGGGATTCATGAAAAACAAGTTTTTAATTTGTTGCTTGGTATCATTTCACATCGTCTATTTTAAATTGATTTTTAAAATATCGTGCAAAATACGGATCAGTTATTTCTGACCTCCGTACATTTACTTAAAATACTCTCTCGGGGCATTATTATGAGATAGAGTAATTTTTAGGAAAATTACCAAATAACACAAATATTTTCCGAGTATAATAATTATAAAATACGCTATCACTAGCAAAATAGTTCTGATGCTTCAAAATCATGTCCATTGGGAAAAGTTATATTAGTTTTTCGAGTTCTTGCACAACTTGGAGCTGAATAAAGTAATTCCGACTACTTTTCTTTTTGAAGCTACAAAATAAACCGAGTATTTGATATACTTTTGAGATTTTGTGTTTCTTTTTAACGTAGGCTTGCATTCAATATGTACCTTCAGTTTTGCAATCAACATAAAACTTGGAACTTCTTTCAGGTATCCCCTTTTACTTAACTTTTATCTGACATGTAATTTGCCTCGTGTCACTCTGAGCTTGGCTTCAGAACTTCAAACCCATTAACATATTACTTTTCGTAAATTAGCGACATTAGTTTCGCTGAACCATTTTATTTAGATGGGGTTCCTTCCAGAAGCTGTTGAAATGAATATATTTCATTTTTTATGGAAGTGGTTCTCGTGTTTTATGCACTATGTTTTTCATTTATTATGTAGATGAGTTTTACGAATTTTTGTTAAATATTATTCGATAGCTGAGAAAATAACTGAGAAGTAAATACGATGTAGATCACTGGAAATGTTTTTGTCGGCAGTCTTTTGAAAAATTCCTCGCATCAAGTATGGACCCCAATTTTATTAACCGTTATTTACACGAGGGTTATAAACGTTATATTTGGACCCAACAAAAAATGTCCGAAACGAATTACTGCCTTCTGCCTTTTAAGAAAAATTATTAGTCGCGAAAATCATTGGCTATAACACTTCTGTGGTATTTACTGCCATGCACTCTGTAGGGAAAGTCTAAGTATTATAACTAGTCTTCCATTAAATATAGTCTTTACTTTTCGTACCTGAAGAAGACCCCTACTTGGAAGTAAAAGCCAAGATGTTGGCGGTGACAAATTCAGCCGTGAGGGACCAGCTTGGTATCCCCTAAGATGGCTACAAATGTTTCCTGCAACATGCCCTTAATTCTCCTAATGGGAGCCATTTTCCGTATGCAGGCTTGCCTCTTAGATCGTTTGCTGCTTCGTTTTCTGCAGCTGCGAGAGCACAGGCGTCCGAAAAAGCCTGAACGAGGTTAAGCGCGAGTGAAGATCTCCTTACTGGCGCATCACACGCAAATCTCAAGCATTGAACGCTGCTTGAATTGCACAGCCTGTGGCATCGTTGCCTCAGCGGCTGCTCAGTCCGTGCGTACTCTGTGAACCATTTCCTTGGTGCTCAAGGAGACGAATTTAACGCCGTGGTGCACTTTCAATCTGATTCCAGTGGCGTCTTTCTGGGAGCGTCACGAAAAACTCGAGCGTTGAACGATTCTTGATCGAATTGTGCGACACGAGGGATGTGCCGCTTTGGCTTTATTTAATGCTGGCAGGTTCAGTGAACCGTTGGCGAGGCACTCGATAAAATGGATGTTAACGTCGCGTATCGTCATATCCTACACTAATCACGAGAGTTTCTCGCACTGATCTTCATGATCGATGGTATTTTAACACATTAAAAAATATCCCTTCAATATTTAGTCAAACGGAAGACTGCGACACTTAGGATAAAGTTTGCGAATCCAGTTAAAACTGCCTTATTTAACACTGAAGATAAAGAGTCAATTTGGATGCTACATGCTTTTAAACTATTTAAATTTCTGACAATTTTTTTGTTGTCCATTCCCAAATTGAAATGTTTATGGAATTTGTAAAGTTGAATAAACAGGCTTCACGATTTGAGAGCATAAATTTTCATTTTCAACAAGCTTTTACCAGAGCTTGTTTTCGAAATTTATAGCTTTTTAAAATTCAAACTCCTTTCTTAGTTGTTCAGTAATTTAACACTGCCGTCATTGAAATCTACTGCATCGCAAGAAGGATAATTTTTATATGAATTAAAGGCAGATAATTTGATTCTTCTCCCGTTAAATTCAAGTAAAGCATCGGTAAATCTAATATGCATCCCATGACGGTTTACTTGTCTGAAAATGCATTTTAATTTTCCTATTTAATCCAAGTTAAGCATTGGTTATTCCGAAACACATCCCGTGATTATGATGATGAACTTGTCCTAAAACGCCTTTTACTTTTTTTATTCAATCCAAGTTGAGCATCAGTAAATCTACCATGCATCCCATGACGGATTACTTGCCCGAAAACGCATTTTAATTTTCCTATTTAATCCAAGTTAAGCATCGGTGATTCTGAACTCGCTGCACCGCTTGACAGACATGCAGGATAGGCCACCCGAACCTAACATGTCTGGCAATTAAACGTTTTTGCTCGTTAAATTCTAGCCTTGACTGTACTGTAACGAGCGAGTGGCATTTAATTCGATTACGTGCCTTGAACATCAATCGCAAGGACAAAATTACAACTTTTACTTTCAAACTTTTGGGAAAGTCTTTCTGGCACAGAACATTTTTATTAGTGCACTATAGTATTTTAATATAGTTTTCGTGTAAAGGATCACTAGTCAACTGCATAAAACCAAGTACAATTTTGTATATAATAATAATTTGAATACATTTTATTATCTTATTAGTAAACACTTTCTTAGATCTATGTTTTTGCAAAGCATAAACGAATATTGCAACTTGTAGCTAAATTATTGTCATGTGCTTATCAAGTTTAGCGTAAAGGGTTTAAGGTAATTGCATAAAAAAACACAGCAATTATCTATGTTCAATTAATATGACGGTTAACTTATTAAATTAATCACAAGTTAAATCCAGCTATTAATACTCTTCGTAAGGTTACTTCTGCTAATGGAGTTAGGATGGAATAATTTTGAATTTCCGAATAATTTTTAGCTGAAATCAACCAGTCGACATCATTAATTTCTAAATCTTCTGCTATAATTCTGAATTCGGCGTGAATTTATTGTTCCAGTATACATTTTATTGGAAAATCATATTCGTCTAATATTTCCTGTGCGAATTTCACTCTGAATGCCTAACGTACCTATAATTATACATTTTAACGGTACGACGATTTAATATTCATTAAATTTTTATCGAATTGAGAATAAAATGTACATTTAATGCGTTGTTATCTTTTAACTCAGTCTTTATTTAATTAAGACTGGTAGCGACTCGTTAATTATTGAAGCAAATTAGCGATAGCTCTTAATGCAATTATAATATTGCCATTTCACCGCCTGGGAAATTATTTCAGAACTAATTAAAGGCTCTGGAAAACAGTATGCTGAAACTTAGTGAGGCCTTTTTAATTAATCAAATTCTTATAAATATTTATTAATTTTTTGGCGCCATGAATCGGAACAAATAAATGTCTGTTGCGTCAAATTCCCGATTAATTAATGATTTAGGCTCCTAAATTAAATGAGGCCACTTAGTAAAAGCGATCTTAAGCAGATTAATTTCCACGTCCCGTAATCTCAGTGCTAATTAATAAAAGCATAGTAAATGTATAACATAGGTGATAAAATCACGGATACTTACGCGTCGCGCTCTAGAGCCGTCCAAACTAATGCACTATCGAGAATGATTTTAGTAATGTAAGAATAGGATTTATTCATTGTCTATTTCTCTGAATACTAAATGTAAATTCAACCAATAATACGTCCTTATTATACTGGGGGTTTCTGTTTGAATGCACATCTCACTGTTTCATATTTTAAACAGGCCGAACATTGGCAAAACTATGTTCAACCATGGGCAAAACTGTCATGGTAATAGACAGGAATTATTAAATAATGTTTGTAAACTTGACTCGAGAAAAAATTAGAAATTAGTCATGAAATATTTATAAAATATAAATTTTGAAACCTTTCCTGTGTATAAACGCGCATAAAACTTATATTCGTGAAAAATCGAAGTTATCACAATCAACACTTCTTCATCGGCATCGTTGGAATATTCTAGAGTTGAGCGCACAGCGCCATTGTGCAATGTTGATGCAAAACTTATGCTTTCATCACTTGAATCCGCTTGAAGGTTCACTTGGTTTCGGTAATGCACAATCCGTGTCAATTTGATTCATGAGTGAAAATAACATTGCTATTTTTATTCATAAATAAATGAGGACATTAATATGTTTTATGTCCCCCAATAATGAAACATATTTAATGTACTTAACGATACTAACTACGTATTTGATGTATTTAATGATATAATGATTTATTCGAAATTTGTACGGTTTGAAAGGAAAGGGCACAGACATATCTGTGACATTTTTGTTTCACGGAGCTTCTTAGGAAGCTCATTTATTTGAATGACTGAGAATTTTTGCGATCATTTAACATTAAAGCCAGAAGCGAAATTCAATCTTGAGTAAACGATCAATCAATATTTTAAAATCATATCTATGAACCAACTTGTCTGCTCAATATGTTTTTCTTGACTTTTTTTTAATAATTTAGGTATTGTCTTGAAAATGCAAAGAGAGCCTATTATGTAGCTGTAAAACTTAATGGAATTGGACTGAATTGTTTCGACAACTATTTTTGCGTTCTTTCGTTTGAAAACGCGTTTTATTTTATGCCTTGCGTATGGTTCTTCATTGTTATACAATTTTTTATTTACAAACATCTTTATTACAGGTGTTGAAAATCAATACTTCTATTGGTTTTTTTAATAAATTGTATGCTTTGACAGCAATTTCATTCGTATTTTTCTCGAAAACTCCCAAGGATATTCTCAAAGCTCGTTCATGCGTTCACGGAAGCGTTCACGGAAATTTGTTCGAATTTGCGATTCGTTTTACTGTTTAGGAGTTTCTAAAACACTGGCGTCTAGATCCAAGTTTTTCTTAGGTGATTTCGCTCTTTTAAATGTAGGTTATTTTGTTGTGATATTAAAAAGTTTTAAATAAATAATCAATGTCACTTATTGGGAGAGAAATTTTGAGAAAACTTTAAAATAACCTTCCATATTATATCTTAATCATACTAATGGACTTCATTTCCTTGATTTTGACCTAGGGACTATCATAAATTAGCATGCTTCAGATATGCTGCCAAGCTGCGGTTTCATTTCTTCGCTTGATCATGTCATTCTGTGGTCGATTTCGTTAGCTAAGCGAATTCACTGAATATCGCAGTGACAGGGTTGAGCTCACTCAGCATTTCATCAGGCAGTACTAAAACAATTTAATCAATATATCATTCAAAATTTTAAGAATTCCATGTTAAATATCCAAGGAGTGTTCAATATTAGATACTTTAACGTTCATAACCTCCGCTAAATTCAATAGTTGGAATGGAAAACTGCAAATAGTTTGAACTATTTCGATAGAATGGAAAACTGTAAATCGTTTGAACTATTTCGACAAATTTTAAGAATTTTATGAAGGATTTATTGTATATCAGATCAGAAAGTAATGGGGAATGTTTTCCTGCCAATCATCTCAAGATCAAAAGTTATTTATCGTTACGACAATAATCGTTACAATTTCAATTGTAATCTTCATCGTTTCCTAAGTCCTAGCAGCTCATTTTTTTCCCAGCTTGTGGTCATCATCATTACTTCGACAATAACACTGCTCGAGGGCAGCGTTTCCCACGACCAATAACATTTCAGAGCTTTCTTGTATTCCGCAGATGCGCCGGAAGTTGAAGCCGTGTTGGGCCGAGGGCTGTCGGCTGCCAACATCAAGTCGGGCGATGATGTATTTTTTGAGTGCCACGCTCGTGCTAAGCCCAGCGTGTCAAAGCTCGCCTGGTATCAAAATGTTCGTCTCGTGTGCATTGCTGGCTTACGAAATGGCTTGGATTTGTGATACATTGTTTAATGTAAATGAAATATTCCTAAGAAAGGCTTTCAAAAATTATGAGTGTTCAATTGAAAATGTCAATGCCATTGGAGAAGAGGTACGAGTTTTGATCATTGTTCATTTAAATTTCGGTGAAGCAGTTCGAGGATTGCTATGTAAATTGGCATGTTGAGAAAACTTCTCTGATCATGAATATGAGAGATCAAAGCTCAGTTTATTAAATTCGTAAGATCGAATTTATTAATCGAATCGAGCCTAACAACCAATGAAAATTCTCAATTTGTTCATATCATGTAACTGTAACTGGGAACAAAAATCGATTATATTTTATTTTGGTTACGAATTTTGACCTAGAAGTTTTGCAAAACATGAACCGTTACTTACCATGCAATACTTTCAATGACAGCTTAGACGATGCCCTGATGTTTCATCGACATGAACGAACGAAATCACTGTTAGTAATACCGCTTAATTCGCAAGAGAAAAATATTTACAGGCATATATGTATTGCATGCATCACCGTATACTGTCACTGCAGGGAGTTGAGGTTCACCACAACGTGTCAGCGGGCATCATCATCAGCAACTACACTCTGGTGCTGCAGCGTCTGAGACGTACGCAGTCTGGGCAATACGTCTGCGTCGCCTACAACGACGTCGGCGTCACGCGCAGCCACCCCGTCACGCTCAGAGTCAAGTGTGAGCGCAATGCATGCGCGTGTGTGCATGGAGTGTTTTTGCAGGGGCATGCGCGTGGTGGGGATGTGCAGGGGCATGCGCGTGGAGGGGATGTGCAGGGGCATGCGCGTGGAGGGGATGTGCAGGGGCATGCGCGTGGTGGGGATGTGCTGGAGCATGCGCGTGGCGGGGATGTGCAGGGGCATGCAAGTGGCGGGATTATGCAGTTGTTGCCAGGGCATGTAATTGGCATGAGGTGGTTTGGAGCATATTTGCTATAGAAGCGCGTGGTATACGAGTGCAAAATGTATTCATGCATGTATTAGCGATACATTGTGAGTGTTGCTAGTTTGTAAAATGGAGTGTGTGAGTAGCCAGTAGAAAGTGGTGAGTGAGAGAATTCGTACCACCGACGCCCAAAATTATTGTCGTGACACGATCGCCGCACAGAGTGTTTATAATATCGCGTGGACCATCTTTGCCGCCTTGAATCTTAACACATTGCGTCGTGGCCACTGTTGCATGTAGTCCGCATGGATGTAGGTGTTCAAGAAGCTTATTGTATCCGTTGTACGTCCGTAACATGAGCCATAAAGTCCCCCTGGCGGTCTACCCAAAACCAGTGACTTAGGGAGCTGGAGTTGACATGTATACTGGACCCTATTAGCGCTAGAGTTGGAGTCCTGAGACAAGTTTTGCTTGTTAGAAATTCTATGTGAGGCAAGGAAAGGGTGACTCTGTTGGGACGGCAGTGACGTCGCTCAATGTCAAGAGAAAATGAACGAGCTACACGCGGCTGAGCTACACGAGTGACTTGTGAGTATATAGGGAGTTGAGAAGCGGTGTGTGAATGCTCGGCTGGGAAATGGTGCTGGAAGAAAGAAGATTAGTTAAAATAAAGGGAAATAATTTGTAAGTTCTTCTTACAAATTTATTTCTTTGATTTTCAGCGGAATAATCGTGATACCTACGCCATGAATTATTTCAGTGATTTAAGTCTTCTTTTTACCGCAGATCCTCCAGAATGCGCTCGAAACCAGCGCACATTTTACGCAGCGGCCAAAGATGAAGAGGTACGGAACAAATCAAATCCTATCTTCAATTTTTTATAGAATATATATTACATTATTTAAATTTGTCTTACGCATTTATAAACAGTGAGAACTAAACCGATCATTTAATGCAAGTTCGCATTTATGCGTGCTAAGTACTGCCTTTACCCACAATTGTTACTTGTGCGTCGTCATAGAGAAGCGATGGTAATATGTACGTGCTCACTCGAACTCCCTTTAATAGCCTTACTTATTGTGAATTTCGGCACGTTTCGGCGCGAGAACCTGCAACTTGAATAGCCAGCAGCATACGCAATAAGTTGCCACGAATTGTGATGCAGTGGCATGAGAATCAGCACTAGTAATGTCATCTGTCTGATGAATAAACTTCGCGCTGATCTCGCTTTCTCGGTGTCAGGAGCGACGCCACATTTTCCTATGCGTCTCGCCAGATACCGGGCTGTCTCGAGTTGCATAGTAATAATAATAGCGGTTTCAGCGTTTATTAGGCCTTAGGCTAGTCGCCGATTATTAGCTTCGCAGAACATTACCAGCTTGTTGCAGTCTCGAACACGTAACTCACTGCTTCAATTTTTTGCTCTGCTAAACCGCCCGGCCTCCTCGCCGATTCTGACCAGAAACTGGCGCACAGAGCTGGGATCGAACCCGTTCCTCTCTGCTCCAATCCTGGTACTCTTAACTGTATAAAAGTTTATAATCATCATTCTAAACCCAGACAGAGTTAAGCGCTAAACTGGCCTATAACGAGGAAAATAAATTAACCAAACATTAATTGTGGACCAGTAATTCATACATCGTTGATGCATAAGCTTTATTTGGCCACCATTATTTCTCGTTGGACGATCCTTACCTTTTTAGACGAATGTTCTTTAAAATTTTCTTTGGGTCGCTACAATTTTCATAATCATATTGTGGCTCGATTTTTAATTGTATATTTCATTTTAACAATAACCTCTTTCAATTTATCACATTAATAAGTTCTATTCATTGGACGTTCAAGTTTCAGTCCCTTTTCCTCTACAGGTGACAGTCAAGTGTAGCTTGGACTCATTTCCATCGAATGTGACATTCAACTGGCGTTTCAACAACTCTGGGGAGATGGTGGACATCTCAGCTGAGCACATTTTCAACACGGGACTAAACTCAACACTTTCATACGTGGCCAGAACTGAGCTGGACTATGGTACTTTGTTGTGCTGGGGTACGAACGTAATCGGAGCGCAGACCGAGCCGTGCAAGTACCGAGTTGTTCCTTTGGAACTTCCGAAGCCACCGACCAACTGCACCCTTCTGGACGCCGGGGGCATTGGTTTCATAGAGAAAAAAGTGCACCGTGATGAGGAGATGAAAACTCATCAACGAGTTTACGAAGCTGAAAATCGGCTCTTCGATCCGAATTTTGGAGTCATCGAATTTCCAGCCGATTTTGTTCGAGATCAAAGACTCGCGCGAGAAATCGGCCAACAAAGAGAAGCGAATCAAAATACAGCTATGCGAGAAGCAGTAATTTTAATCACACGAAAGCACGAAAAGAAAGACCCGTACGTTATTCCTAATTATCGGAACACCTCTGGCCATTTTTTACGCAGCACTAAAAATGAATTTTCCAGCAAAAATATGGGTTTTAGGGAAACCACCAAAGGTTACATGAGAGAATCTCGAATCAAAAGGAAATCAGAGAGGGATATCAAAATACAGGAAAATTTACATGGTATGTACGAGAATGAGACAATCTTGGAAGAGAACGATATTTTTGTTAACTGTACCAACGACAACAACCCCGATTTATTGGTTCATTTCAACGCGGTCGTTTACGACGCCAACAAGAACGAACCGATGGCGAACATCACCGATGCTACTGAGCCGTATTTTTTCTTCAAGAATTTGCAGCAGACGTCGGATTTGGACATCTTTCTCTTCTCAACTAATGGACACGGCAACTCCAGTCTTGTTATCCTGAGAACTCGCGCAAACATCGACATCGCTGAGAAGAGAACCGTTCCGGTGGACAGACGGACATCTCCCAGTCGCATAGACATGACGCAACAGAAAGATGGTTCTCACAGCTCGAGTACCAGCACCACGTCATCGCGGTTCATGCTGCCGGTTCTGGCGATCGTTCTGGGGGTTCTTGGAACCCTTGGATTACTTGTGATCGGTGCTGTTTTATTTCACTCATACAAAAAATCTTCAAGAGGCACTCATATCAAAAGTTTGGCTGATTCAAAGTCAGAATCGTCTGACTCGAATCCTGATATCATTCCTTCCGTCGGTAAGACATTTTTATTCGTTCCCCTTAAAATTTATTAATATCTTATTGCTCGGTTAAATAACACAATTCAACCATGTTGCATGAAACTTTGTGGCTTCAAATTACGGAAAATTCACTGTAAAACAAAATCTATAATAATCAGCGAAAACTATTTGAAAATGTATATTTAATTTATAACATAGAACACCTGCTTTTAAATCGTATTTTTTCGAATATCACTTGTTATTTCGTGCTCAAATGTAATAATTTTATTCATGATATCTGTTCAGTTTATATATTGCATTCTTTTACAGCTGACCCTGAAGCATCAGCGGCCACGGTGATTCCGACAATAACAGAGAAGCTACTCTGGCAAAACTACGAAGTCGTTGCCTGTAACGTCGCCGCAGGGACCAAGGTAAGGAATGCGTAAAGCAACAGTAGCAGGAGGTTAATGTTCTCGCTCTTGAGTAACCAGATCCGAGCAGTTATCGGCTTTATTTGTACATGACCTATTGCACTATAATTGAGTAACAGAGCATAAATTTTCAAATTTTCTTTGCGTAACGTGCAGGTTTGTTAAATAATTAGTTTTGATATTTCTGGAAACATGGTAAATAGATTTTATTTCATTGGGTCCAGTTTCGTGAATTTGAATGTAATGCTATAATGAGGTACCACAACATAAATAAAATGTTTCTTTTTATAACGCCCGGGTCCCCAAATAATAATAAAATGAAACAAATATCGTTTTCAACATTTTCTTGATAGCGCTGAATTTCAAAATGGGACTTACTCTAAAATTCGTTTAATTCTTATATTTCAAGAAAATCAGTTTCTCTGAATCTTTAGAATTAAAAATTTTGGAATAAAATAATCGGGTAAAATTAAATCCTGTTCACTGGCTATTATTCTGAAATTTAGAACAAAATATTTGAAAATTGCCTTCGAAAGAGCGATCGACAATGTGAGCGTGGCTGGGATAAATGAAACTTTTAATGCCTAAATTATTTAAAAGGTAAGGCAAGAATTCGTCGATTTATTTTTTTAGATATATATTCACCAGAAATTTAAATATGAATATAATCATTGGTTCTCCATCCTTCAATGTAGCTAAAAAGCCAATATCCTCCTCGCATATGCATTATTCATACGGTACTCTAAATTTGAATTGTATTCATCAGATTCCTGGCTCGAGCAACATCACAAGAAACGTTCACGACGGCAAGCGGCCGAAAACTTTCACGCAGAAATCAACAACGTCGACCACTTTTATACTGCAGGAGTGTCCCGAGATAATTCTTCTACAACAAACCAAGAGGGAAGACAACAGCAGGATGGTAGCCGGGAGTTGTTTAAAGGCGCTCAGAACTTTTGATGATCCGCGTGCTAGTATTAATGTTTTACAAAATTTTTACCCCGAGTCAGCCAACTTGGACGACTCGAGCAAAACCCTGAACGTTAACATAACGCCTCCTCCAATGTTCAGAAAGAATGATCGATCGCTGTCAACTTCGGATGTTACCATGATTTAATGCAGAGATACAACTTTTCATATTATATACCATTAAGTTAATTTTGATAATTCTTTTACACATCTATGAACGTAACAGTTGGGTCGTAACATGAAATAACGAAAACTCAGTTTCAGGTTTCTGATTTTAATCACGATCGTACATACCTTTAATAGCTGCTAACGCAAAACCTGGCGATTTTATAAAACCATCTACGTCGAGAAGATACCGTGACCTACATGGCGGCCGGGCTCTTATGCCTGTGCAGTCTGACACTACACCCTTGCATGGCTACCCATGGTTGAACTAGGAGAAGGTTGACTGGGATGCATGCCGGAGGCCAGCATAGCCCAAGACCAGCATATCTTTCATCCTCCTTTCCGTGCGTAAGCCTGCTAAAGGGCAGATTAGACTAAGGGATTACAAGTTAATAGCCAAAGGTACAAATCCCCTTCATGGAAATTAACCAGCGAGCTAATGAGAAGTAAGCCA